CAGGGTGGGGGTCCCCACTGGGGTGCCTGGCCAGTCTGGGTGAGGGGCTGAGGGCTGTTTTCAGGCTGGGACTGAAGCTCCCAACTGCTTCTTTTTTTCTTTTTTCTTTTTTATACTGGGCCAGCTTTAGCTCTGAGGCTCCAGCTCTTAGGCCTCCGCTCCTGAAAGCAGATCTGGTTTGTTTCGGTTCTAATTGAAACTCTGTATCAACTCCAGCTCTGAGATCCCAGCTCTCTGAAAGCTGGTTTCTGGTTTTTTTTTTAAGCTTCTATATGTTACTATGTTTGAAACTGCCGACTCAGAGGCCTACAGCGGCAGGCAGGGAAGGCAGGCAGGGAACGTTGGTTGGAGTCGGCCGTCACTGAAGCAAGCAAGCCTCATGTTAGTTTCAAGCTGCCTGGCTGCCTGCCGCCATCTTGGCTGACAGTTAATTTGCATATCTTCCTGATTAGCCAATGGGAAGGGTAGCGGTCGTATGCCAATGACCATGTTTCTCTTTTATTATATTAGATATACAGGCTTCCCTGACTACACCTGGGTATTGAAGAAACAAATTATTTGGAAAATGTGCCAATACTGAAATTCCAGGGAAGCGAGAATTCTATATTTCAAGGTGTTTATAACACAGTATCTAATTTAGGCATCATCACAGGTGTGTGAGATACATTTTTTCTGATATCTGTTTTCAAATGAGAAATTGGAGTCAGATTTATTGATTTGTCCAATGCTAATCAATGGTGAAAGGGGTTTTTAAACTGAAATCTCCTGGTTCCCCTGTCCCCACTTTTTTTCAGTGCTACAGTGAAGGTTAATTTTAGTTTTGAAGATAGTTATCAGAAAGAATTCAGGTCTGTACAGGCTGGTATTCTCTCATAGGCTGTTCCCCTTTCCTCCCACCCAGCTTAGTCCTATTCATCCTTCCGCATTCAGTTTGAATTGTTCATCTCCCACACACCTTTCATGCCCATTCCAGCTTACTAATTTCTTCCATTTTCTTTTAAGTTTTGCCTTAAAAGAAAAACATTGTAAACAGATATTGAATTATAGTTAATGATATACATGCTGAAAGAATTGTACTGTTATCTGCAAATTACATTGCAATGTATTAGAAAATAAGATAGATTAATAGATGGATAGAGGGATAAATGAATAGACTTGTGATAAAGAGTAAAATGTGCCCAGCTTGCATGGCTCAGTGGTTGAGCATAGACCTATGGACCAGGAGGTTACTGTTTGATTCCCAGTCAGGGCACTTGCCCAGGTTGCAGGCTCAATCCCCAGTGTGGGGCGTGTAGGAGGCAGCCGATCAATGATTCTTTTTCATCATTGATGTTTCTATCTCTCTCTCCCTCTCCCTTCTTCTCTGAAATCAATAAAAAAATATTTTTAAAAAGAGTAAATGTTTATTTACAGTCGGGGTAATAGATATATGAGTTTTAACTGTATAATTTTTTCCACTTCTATGTATGTTTGCAAATTTTCATAATATGAAGTAGGGAAAAAGAAAAATACATTATCATTAGTTATAACTGAGCAGCTGAAACTCAAATCTACCAGAACCTTCTCAGAAGTCTTATGAGACCCACCTCAGAACCTAACCTGGGTGGTGAATGGGAAAGCATTTATCCACTGGTTTCTTTCTCATTGTGTGAATGCTGGAAAGCCTCACACCTTAGAGAATTCCCAGTGTAGCAAGCTAGAGACACAGCACAGACTGAGGTGAGATGTTTCAAATCACACCTGGGTGCAGCTGGTCAAAGCCTGTGCAGAAATGGTCTCCTGAATCAGTGCCTACATTAAGAGTCAAACGGGAGGATCTGAAGTGCTGCGGAGGTATTCTGTTATTACCTATTGCTACATAATGAATTACCTCCAAATTAGTGTCTTAAACAATTATTATCCACAGTTTTTGTGGGTCAGGAATTTAGGAGCACCTTAACTAGGTGGTCTGGCTTGGAGGTCTCCCATGATATTATAGACAATATTTTAAGCCAAGGCTCAATTTATCTGAAAGTTTAATTAGGGCTGAAAGATCCACATCCAAGGTGGCTTGTTGCATGGCTGTTGGCAGGATGCTTCAGCTTCCCACAATATGGCCCCATAGTAGGGCTGCTTGAGTTTCCTCATGTCATGGCAGCTGGTTTCCCCCAAAGTCAGTGATGAGAGAGAGAGAGAGAGAGAGAGAGAGAGAGAGAGAGAGAGAGAGAGAGATCCTAATGCCTTTTATGACCTAGTCTCAAAAGTCACACACTGTCACTCCCACCACACTCTTTTCCTTAGAAGTGAGTCACGAAGTACACTCTACACTCAAGGGGAAGGGAATTAGGTTTCATCTTTTGAAGAAATGAACATTAAAGAATTTGAGGACATATTTTGAAAACACAACAGGTTTCCAATAAAGTTCAACTTTTGTACTCCTTACTTTCATGTTCTGCATTAAGTCCAGCCTGTCCGAAGTAGCTCCAAACCCTACAAAGATTTAATGCAGGAAGGTTAGTGGAAGTTAATTCCCTGCTGCAGCAGCATGTCCCAGGCCCATAATTTATTATCTCCCCTTCCCATTCTCTGCTCTAGAGTCCCTTAACCTCAGCCAGTTCTTTGGCTGATCTAGGCTGCTTTCCTGATGGATGACTCAGACCTTCATCTCTTTGAGGTCTGAGCCTTTGGTTGTCTTTGTAAGGCCACGATTGCTGCAATTGCCTATTTCATCATCACAGTCATGGAATCATCAATTGATATCCAGTGAATCTCCTGTGTCCCAGACATACTTCTCCCTGTGCACATTATTTAAGAGCAGCCTTTAGCTCTTCATGGAAACCAGAGCCAGTTACTCTTGCCAGTATAGTAACATCTTTCTTTGCTTGCTGGTCTACTGTCATGAGGAGGCCAAAGTTAACAGGTAGTAGTCATACTTCAACTGGAAGCCCTACCTTTTCCCCTATTGGAAACATTGTCCTACCTGAAAGTAAGATGAATGATTCAGTAGAATCTAAGATTGTGGGGTGGGAAACATTTTTATTTGGAGCAGGAGGCGTGCTGGTGTGGAGGGGCAATCCTAGTTTCAACTCATGTTTTCTGGACCAATGATGCTAGGCACTGGGACATGGCACCATACACCAGCTGTCGTTTTAGCACATATATACAGTATTGTGGAGGCCTAACAACGGGATGTTGTCCCTGAGCTGATATTTTAGCTGAGTTATTAAAATGACTTTCTAAGAGCTGCTTCTAGCCAGGAGGGAGTAAGTCAGTCTGGGATTACATGTTGAATGTAAGCAACTAGAAAACTAAACAAAGTATAAGAAATAATTGTTTGTAAACATTGGACAAGAGTCCAACAAGATTATGATCCCTGAGGAAAGGAAAACAAATGGAACAGGACCAACCATTACGTAGACTTTCTGCTTTTAGGTAGCTCTAAGACTAATTCAAGGGAGGGGAAACCATGCAGAGTGTGGCAATCTCACAAAGTTAAGTAAGTAGATAAGTAGATATTGTAGTTCAAGAAGTCTATTTAAGCCCTGGGCACTGTAGTGCAATTGGTTGGGTGTCATTCCATGCACCAAAAGGTTGCCAGTTCGATTCTTGGTCAAGGGCACATGCCTGGGTTGCAGGTTTGATTCCCAGTGGGGGGCCTGTGGGAGGCAACTGATTGATGTTGTGCTCTCACATCAATGTTTCTCTTTCTCCCTCTCTATTCCTTTCTCTCTTAAAAAAAACCAAAACGAAGACCCCTTAAGTACACTTAAAAATGGTTAAAATGGTAAATTTTATGTATGTATATTTTAGCACAAAATATTTTTTTAAGTTAGTCTCTACTGTTCAAGGATAAACCTTGCTTTATTTGCCAGATCAGGTCATTCCATGGTGATGACAAAAATCAAAGAACACAATGGAATTCAGTTACATAAAAGTGGTTTCTTTGTGTGTTTTCTACAAACTTTTGAAAACATAAATGCTTGTAGAAATTTAAATTACATTTTGCCTTTATTAATTCCTACTGAACACTTTATGCAATCTGTCATAAATGAATAATCAAAAGAAAAAAAGGTCTATTCTAGTATTTCCACTTGCCCGGGCTTTCTGACTCCTTCTTTCGAGCTCTATGCCAGTGAAGTTCCAGCAACTGAACCTTATTTATTGTAGGCCATCATTTTGTTCAAACCTCAAGAAACCATCCTTGCAATGATTGCTCCAGGTGTCCCTGCCAGGACACTTTAAATCAGGAAGAACACTCCCATGTCAATAAATTCTCTGCTATCCACTCAACCCTGGTCCAACATCCTCAAGGTCCACTCCCACTAGCATGTTCAAGTTCCTGCCTGTACGAATTCGACAGAATCTTTGATTCCTTCAGTAAACTATTTCCCACTGGAGCAGGGATGTATTTTCCCTCCTGCTTGAGCCAAAACCTGGCCCTAGTTATCCTGGAGACAGTGAGTGGAGGTTGGAGCAGATCTTGAGGACAAGAATCACATAACAAGGCAAGGTTCAGGCGAAGTCTTTTCAGGTGTCCTGGGTGGTGAGGTGGTTCTCTTCTAGCAAGGGGAGGAAGGCTGGTTCCGCTCTCTTAGGGGATTAAAATCAGATTCAGTATTCTCAGACTTGTTTACCGTATCCCATGTCTTAATATCTTGAAGTTTTTCTAAAACGGGCCTAACTTTGAAATAGTGACCTGTTGAGGCTTTGCATTCTGTTTCCTTTTGACTTTGTCACCTTGGATTAAATCATTGGCTTAAATGTCAAGGCAGTATTCCCAGCACCTGCAGGAGATACAGTTTTAAAAATATTGCCGTGGAGACCTTCTAAAGTTCACAATTGCTTAAATTGATTTTTGGCGAACCTGAATCCATCATTTCCCTTTTCCCAAGATTTCCAAAGCAGTTCACAAAAGCCAATGAATTCCCCCATTCCTTATTATTATCATTATCATTACCTCCATATTCTTCAAGTACACAGCTACCATATCACCCAAAGCTTCTCCCTTTCACCTGTACCTCATCCAGGAGAGAGCCAATTGTGTTGCTGCTGGATCTGTACTTACCACCAGCAATGGGTCCTCATTTCTGCCCACCTACAACGTTCCATCCAAAGGGATCCTCACAAGTAGTCACTGCTCAACACTTCTGGATTGTGACTGCCAGGCTGTTCTCCACAACATCACAGATCTTGGTATAAGAGAAGCCCTGGAGCAAAATCTAGAGGCCCATATTGGGGACTGAGGTGCTGTCAGATGACACCTTTGTGGAACTGGTCCAAGCCTACGTGGACTGGTTGCCGGCAGCAGTGGCTGGAGTAAATGGCAGGCCGATGAGAAATGATGCTCAGGTGTCCTGGGACACTGAGGGCCTGCCTCCTGCCAAGTGTTCGTGTACAAAACAGTGGCAGCCCATGCCGAGCGTTTACTTGAGCCAAGGTAAAATGCTGGTCAATTCCTAGATGCATTTGGCCAGAACTAGGTCAATGTCTATTTGTCTAATCAATTTTCTGACTACTCTCTTATCTGTGTGATTCTGGCGCTAGGTCTGAGTCCAAGGACCATGATCCCAACTTTCTCAGTGCACTAAAGGAAAAACCAGGCTAACAATTCCCAAATTTACTAGCACCCTTGTTTCTGTCCAACATTAACCTAATGGCCTTCATTCACCAACATAACTTGGAACAGTTTTCAGTGTCAAGACTGAATAGTTCATTTCCCTGTTCAGTTATTATATAACCTATTATATGACCTAGTACACCCACATAAAAAATTACCAACATTTTCCCAACCAATTTATTAGTGGTGGCACCTACTGATATCTTCAGTATGGGGAAAAGGAGGACAGATTCAAGATGGTCAGCATTCTTTTACGAAGTTATCATTGCTTTAAATATATTTTTCAAAACACTTTATTATGGAAAATTTTAAACATACATAGAATAGAAAGACTAGAATAACAAATCCCTAGGTACCCACCACCCACCTCTTAAAGATCTTTACCAAGACTCCAAAGGAATCTAGAATTCTAGGCACACTTTACAGGTAGCCAAGATGGCCAGCCAGTGTATGAGAAAAATGTTTTTCCTTACGATCCCCATCACAGCTTGAGTGAGTAATCACATTGCCCACCCTGGAAATGGATTTCTTTTCCTCCTATGGGTTCATTGGCTTGAGTTCTCTTTAACCAGAGCGGGTCAAGGCCAGAGATGAGGAAGGGTCTGGCTGAGCCCATCAGAGGGAGCAGTGCCCTCCTGTTTCTCATCGTTCACTGTAAGTTCATGCTGATATCTTGTCGGAGTTTTGTTTCGCTCTGTTCTTCTCCTTCTGCGGGGATACCATTCATTTTTCTTGGACTGTGAGATACAGTCTGTGACCTTCACCTGGGCTCCAGCATTACTGTCTGTAGTATTTCCCAGTAAATGAATTGGCATAACATGACCGACCTACTTGTACACTGTTTGACTCTTGCATTTTGATTGGTCTAGGCTGCTTATTGTTTTCCATCTTAGTTCAGGGCAACTAGAAAAAATTGTTTGAAATAGAATTTTTTTAGTATGTTTTTTCTAATAAAATTATGTTTTTCCAAATCTCCTCCCATCTCACTTTGTTTTCACACTGAAGTGCAGTTGTTTTTTCACAGTCAGGAGCACTGAAAAACGTGAACTGCACTGTATGCTGATCAGCATCCATATGGACTTCCGGGCATATTTTGGGCACTGCATTTGAAAGGATATATTGGCAAACTGGAGTGTGGCAGGGGGAGAGCTAAAGTTATACAGCTTCCACACAGAGAGTAGCCAAGTTTAGCCATGCTCTTAACCAGTCCACATATGGCCTCTCACTATACCCTGCCTCCTCTCATTAAGGAGTTGGGTGAATCCCCCAAAATATATTTTCTAACTCCGTGAGTCTTTGATTTCCTGACCTCTGACTTCAGCCAGCCTCATGCTCTTCCCAGAGAGATACCAGGCTCTCTTCCCAGAAGCCGGGTTGAAATGACAGGCCTCTGGAGACCTTCTCTTCCTGCTTCAAGTGGATTGTGTCTCACAGGATGCACTTTAGTGTGGGCCCCCGACACCTAGGCAGAGCCAGCTGAAGATACAGTTTTGTGTTGTCATGATTTGCCCTCAGTGACCTTTCCTTTTGTATCTTTCACCATCACCTGTTACCAGAACAACACCACATGAATGCTGTGGCTCAAGTTTGTCACCTTTCCACCCCCTTTTCACCACTGATTTTCCCAGGGAAGGAGCTAATGCCTTTTAACTTTTCTTCCAGCATCTAGAGATGTATTACGGAGTAGCAGAAAGAAAATGGATTTGGACATTCAAATATCTGGGTTTAAGTCTAAATGTGCAAACTTGAGCAAAGCCAATTAACCTCATTTATTAATTAATAAAATGGGAGAGATAATACTTAACCAGGGATGAATTCAGGTTTTATGGAGCCTGAAGTTTATACTATTTGGGAGAGCTCTTTTAAACAAAAGAATACAAAATTGTGAATACAAATGGGGTGGGCACAAAATGTATTTGTTTAGAAATAATGCTCGTGGCCATATTAGGTGAAGTATGATGCATTCAAAATTGGAGTGAAAAGAAACAGTCAACTTAACAAAGGCTGTTTTTTGTATAATTTATAAAAACGTATGACATGTGAACATATTTCTAGGGCTCCTTCCTAGAGTTAGGAAATGGTCCATTCATTGAGGGATCCTGAAGCCTGATTCATTAGCATCATGGTAAATTTACCTCTGTATCTCAACCTCACAGAATGCTGAGCATTAAATCACAAGACTAAATATATGCAAGCTTTCTTTGTAATTACTAAACTCTGTGAGATATTACTCATTATTTTGATGCCCAGGACTAAGCACAAATGTTTATTCAGTAAGTGATAAAACAGATGAAATTTGCTCTCACCAAAGTACTATACAAGGTTATTGTGTTAACTTCCCTTAAACCTTTACAATGATAAGAAATTAATATATGCACAAATTTTTAAAAGACTCAAATATTGATAAAAACCTTGTGAAATAGAAATCCCATTTCCCATCTTTATATTTTGCAGTCAATCCATTTCTTCCATATTGCTAAGTAATATGTATTATATTGCTTTCTCCTGATTTATCAATGTTTATCTAGTGGCTTTATTATGGTAGATAAGGATTTCATGTTCTTCTTCCCAGTTTCCCGGTATAATTTTTATGACTGTCATAATATGAAGACTTGTTCACAACCGAACCATAGTAGACTATGATTATATTTATTTTCATATATACCTTTAAAATTTTCCCCAGAGTTGATCATTGTGAGACTTTTTTTCATTTGCTTAGTTTTTCATTGTACTGTGCTTGAATTTTCCTACTCTGTACGATAGCATTTTATATGTTCTCCCACACAGTTAAATTCCCCACCCTGCAGAGAGCCATGGAGCCCTCCGTTCCTCTGCTCCAGATTGGTCTTGCTCTCCATGCAACAGTGTGGAACTTCCATGTCCTACCATGCTAGAAATTTGCTTCATCCCACTCTGTGTTTATTTCTTGAATTTCTCACCTTCCTCTTTCTTGGTTTAGTCTCTTTTTTTGGTGGATCTTATTCTCCAGTAGCTTCCTGAGAAAAGGTATATATGGCAGGTAAGCTACCTGAGACTCTGCATGTCTCAAATGTCTTTATTCTTGACGTGTCCTTATACTTGACTGACTGTTTAGATGGATATGGAATTCCAGGTTTCCAGGTTTAACATTATGTCGCTCACAGTTCGTGGGGCATTCTTATTGTCTTCTAGATTCTGGTATTGCTTCGAGAAGTTCTGCCATACTAATTTCTAATTCTTTGTACTTAATGACTTTTCCCCTTTGGAGGTGATTTAAAATGCCACAATAGCATGTGTAGTACATTATATTATTGCTCAAAAAATTTACTATTTTCCCTCGTGTCCTTCCCTCCCATCTACGTGGGTAGCATGTACTCCTCTGCCCTTCAGTTCTAGGCTTGGCCATGTAACTTATTTTGGCTAAAGAGATATTAGCAGATAGGCTGCAAACACAGGGTTAAAAGGCACTTGTGTGGTTGAACTTGCTATGTCATGCTATGTCATTAGAAGCAGCAGAACATGCTGATAACTAGCTCACTGGTGCTAGGAGGAGGATGAGTAATACATGGAACAAAAGCCAATCAGCCCTAGCCAAGTTCAACCTCAATCAGCAGAGCTGCCCAGCTGAGCCCAGTTGGGATCTGCCAAGCCTCAGCTGACTCACAGATCAATGATAATAAATTATGGTTATTTTAAGCCACTGATTTTTTGGATGTTTATCATTGTAGCATTTAGTGGCAATGATGCAGTGCTACATTGGTATCAGAAATTAGTATATAATTGGTATTAGAAATTGGTATCAATAATAGGATATAGACATAAGAAAAATAAAACGTAAATGGCAGCCAGGCTTCAAGGAAAATATAGATGGAATGGAGAGAGCCCAGGAATTCTGGGATTCGCTGAGTTGAAAGATAAAACTTGTCATCTCCAACTTAGGTACTTAGTGGTAAATCAATTAATGTGTCCCCTCTGTCCTGGAAGGCTCAGCAGTGCATCCTCACAGGGTTAGATAACCTGTGCTGACTATAGGTTTGCCTTTTTAAAAAAAATATATATTTTATTGATTTTTTACAGAGAGGAATAGAGAGCTAGAAACATCAGTGAGAGAGAAACATCAATCAGCCGCCTCCCGCACCCCCCCCATGGGGGTTGTGCCTGCAACCAAGGTTCTTGACTGGAATCGAACCCCGCAGTCCGCAGGCTGACGCTCTATCCACTGAGCCAAACCAGCCAGGGCAGGTTTACCTTTTACCTTTCTTATGCAGAGCTTCAGCAAGCACCACTGTCTGCAGAAAACAGGAA